CCAACCTATGATCACCTACGTGTTTTTGGGTGCGCATGCTACCCAAATTCATCCGCCACTCAACCCCATAAGTTACATACCCGCTTCGTCTGTTGCATCTTTCTAGGATATCCTCCCGATTTTAGAGGATATCGATGCTTTGATCCTACCACGGGCAAAGTTACTATTTCTCGTCACGTTACTTTTGACGAGAACACCTTTCCATACACCATACCCACACCTAATACCAACTACAAATTCCTTGATGATCTACCACACGGTTTCACTTTCACCAGGCCCATTCCTCGACCCACACCTAAACCGACCCAGCTTCCCCCACATTCGACCTCTCCTTTTCAATTCACCTATACCCATCGTCCCCGACCACCGGCCCCGTTACCCACACCAACTCCACCAGCCTCTATACCTCCCGTCCCATCCCAGGCTGTCTCATCAGCCCCAACCGGCAACAATAATCATCCCATGACCACTCGCTCGAAAGCCAAACACACGCTTATTTCCACAACTATCTCTCCTGTACCCACCTCCTACTCCAAAGCCTTTACCGACCCTCATTGTTTGCATGCTATGCAAACATAATTTCGTGCGTTACAGGTTAATGATACATGGGAGTTGGTGCCTCGTCCGGTTGTTAAACCGGTCATTCGTTGCATGTGGTTATTTCGCCACAAATTTAAATCTGATGGCTCTCTAGAACGATATAAGGCTCGGTTAGTTGTAAACGGGAAGTCTCAAACCGTAGGTATTGATTGTGATGAGACTTTTAGTCCGGTTGTTAAACCGGCTACCATACGCACTGTGCTATCAGTTGTTGTTTCCCGTTTGTGGCCCATTCATCAGCTTGATGTTAAAAACGCGTTTCTTCACGGACATTTGAATGAAACAGTCTTTATGCATCAACCACCGGGCTTCGTTGATAAACGATACCCCTCATATGTCTGCAGGTTGAACAAGTCGTTGTATGGCCTTAAACAGGCYCCTCGTGCYTGGTACACTCGGTTTGCAACATATATCTTATCGCAGGGCTTCCACACCAGTGCTTGTGATAATTCTCTTTTCATCTATAGCAGGGGTTCTCACACAGCATATCTATTGTTATATGTTGATGACATAGTTCTCACGGCTTCTTCAGACACGTTCTTGCAGGAGATTATTAGCAAACTCTCACGAGAGTTTGCTATGACAGACTTGGGTCAATTGCATCATTTTTTGGGGCTTCAGGTCACCCGCAACTCTCATGGGTTATTCTTAGATCAGTCACATTATGCAAAAGACATCATCTCTCGGGCCTCGATGTCTTCTTGTAAACATTGCACTACACCTGTCGATCTTTCTGCAAAATTGGGTGCCACAGATGGAGACTTGTTTTCAGATCCTACTTTATATCGGAGTTTGGCTGGCGCTTTACAATATCTAACTTTCACCCGACCAGATATTTCTTATGTGGTACAGCAGGTGTGTTTATTCATGCATGAACCACGTGATCCACATTATGCTTTCCTGAAGCGTATTCTTCGATACTTACAAGGGACACTTGATTATGGGATTCGGATTGTAAGGTCCAATTATCATTCTTTGACTGCATACTCGGATGCCGATTGAGGGGCTGCCCAGATTCTCGTAGATTGACCAGCGGGTACTGCGTGTTTCTTGGAGATAATTTAATATCATGGTCATCGAAACGGCAGCCTACTGTCTCTCGTTCTAGTGCTGAAGCGGAATATCGGGGTGTCGCCAATGCTGTGGCCGAGGCCACTTGGATTCGAAATTTATTACTAGAGCTGCATATTCCTTTGAGACAGGCCTCCGTTGTCTACTGTGATAATGTGTCTGCAGTCTATCTATCAGATAATCCAGTTCAGCATCAGCGAACTATACACATTAAGATTGATATCCACTTCGTGCAGGAAAAGGTTAAAGTTGGTCATATTCGTGTTCTGCATGTCCCTTCATCTCTCCAGTATGCTGATATCTTTACAAAAGGCCTCTCCAGACAACTGTTTCAGTCTTTCAGGTCCAGTTTGAGCGTCTGTCCACCGCCCGCTCAAACTGCGGGGGAGTCTTAGCCAACATATTTACAGGGACTAGTTTTGACAACTTTGTAATGTTTACAGTTATCTGTAATTATTAGACAGATCTATTCCTAATATAGTGGTAGGGTATACATAGTTTCTTCCCCTATTTAAGGGGCTCCTGTTTATTGTATCGAGGCAAAGAAAATAAGATACCACATAAACTTTTACTTATGTGCGAACCACTTACAATGACAATGGCATAACAAATTTAACACATAATCACTACACGACATATTCATGACAACACCCAAAGCATTTACCTTTCAAAAGTGGCTAGAATTACAAAAATTACATACATGAATAACCTGCTTATTTCTCAAACTTCCACGAGAGTCTACATTAAACATTTTATATGGAACAAACAAAAACAAGGTGGAACAAGATGAAAGAAGATCAAACAAACCTATATTTTACCAATATACCTTCAAAATAAAACATAATTTTCTTCTAAAACATCAATTATATCTCATTTCTTTTTTTGCATATTATCGATTATGTATATTTTATTTATCGTTTTTATTTTCTTTAAAATTTTACTTTACTATCATCAAAATATTATTTCTATACATTTTCTATATTTTGGTTAATTTATATAGCTTATTAAATATTAATAATTAAAAATAATAATAATAATTAAAATTTAGAATTTACTAAACTTCATATCTTGATGTTATTCTAATCATAAAATTTTCTAATAGTATGTTTTGTTATAAAAAGAGAAAATTGTATCAGAAAGAACCGCCTTTCACTCGATCACTATTTTAGGGAACTAATTTTCAAAGTTATTATTTAAAGGTCTGAACCAAGCTTTACATATATGTAACGATCTGATTGACCTAATAACCTATATGAATTAGGTAAATGAATATGCCATATCATATTTAAATTTTAAATAATTAATCTAAAATAATGATGTGACATGAATAATTATAATATGATACATAACATTTTTTGGCAACTAAATTCTACATTTTATTTTTAAAAAAAAGTAATCTGCATGAAAAAATAACGTACTTTAACTTGATTTCTAATTTGGGTAACTTACTTTCAAAACTTTCATTTTGGTATCTAAGATGTAAAGTTTCAAACATTTAAGTACTCGGGTAACCCAGTGAAGACTAATTTTAGACTAAAAAAAAAGACTAATTTTAGATTAAAAAAATCCACGTCACTGACTAGGTCAACAAATAATACCGAGTTGGATACCACATCACTCGCCACATCAGTATGATAACCGGTTAATACTTCAACCAGTTACCCGGGTACTTAAATGTTTACAACTTTACATCTTAGGTACCAAAATAAAAGTTTTAAAAGTACGTTACCCAAAAAAATTCCACTATCAAATATATTTAAATTCAATAAATTGACATAAATTTCAAACTTCAAAATCAATTTTGTTCGATCAATGGATAATAAAATTTTACAACTATTTAAACATTTAATAATAAATTAATAAGACAGATGATTAGATATAAAAAATATATAAACTAACTTATTAAGGATAAATTGGTTATTTTATCAATCATCTTATTTTATCTGTCTAGATACTAAATGTACCCTAAAAATATATTATTGTAACCTAAACAACAAATTTGTAAATGATCTAAACGCTATTATTGTGTTCCCACACATTCTTTAAATGTAAGTGAAGAAAAAGAAAGGAAAAATCATGTGGTTTTTTCAATTTTTTTTAGAGAGAAAAAAAAGAAAAAAAAATACAAATAAATGATTATTTTCGTTCTAAAACTTTCCACTTAAGAATGAGTGAGAAGAAATGAAAAAAAAAGAAATAAAATCTTTAATCAGATTTAAAATTATATTATTAATTACGAAGTGTTGTAAATTAAATAAGATTGTATTTATAAAATATAACATATTTTTATTTTCATTATTTCTTTTTTAGGATATGAATTTTTATAAAATATAAATAAAAAATTACTTCCTTCCGTTTTCCTACTATTCTCTTCAAATTGATAATAAAAAAAAAACACCGTATGCTATTTTATAGTAAATTACGAAGTTAGTCCTTTGCACTATTTATTATAATAACATTTGATATAGGGGTGTTAATGAGTTGGCTTGATCGGATCGAAGACATTTGAACAATTCAATTCAATGCTTGTGGTTTGAAAAATCTTAATTCAACTCAACCGAAACGAAAGTGCAACTCAACTCAAACCGTACGGATTGGTCGGGTTGATACTTTGATACATTAAAATATTCTTCTAACCTTTGATATGTTATTTTTTTACTCATAATTTTTTTTTCACCATCAATCATTTGATATAACTTATCTATACTTTTTACGTATATCACATTGAGTTAATTTTATCAATTTATGTATATATGTTTACAATTACTGAACATATGTACGAATTAGTTATATAGAGATGTGAATTGATTGAAAAGATGTGTATATGAAGAATGTATGTGATAGTGTAATTGTCTAATGTATATACTAATAGAAATTCATCAATCATATTAAATCCACTAAATAAAAGAATATCGGGTTCATCGGGTTGAGTTGAGTTCAAATAATAATACCCAATATGAACCAAATACCTACAGTTTGAAAATTTTACAACTCGATTGGACATCGGGTTGCTTCAAATTAAATTATTTCGCATTGGATTGAATTGGATTAATTGGTTTGGTCTGGTTTTTGAGCACCCCTAATCAGATTTATGCTTAATTTGTAATTTACTACAAAGTATAATTAAAAAAAACAGCTGTAAAGTGCCGAAAAAGGTCCAAGAAAGGGTTGACGTGGCGGTGGAGCAGACGGCCAGTTTTACACCGTTGGATCAAGTAAAATCCAAGCTTGAAAACCCTAACAGTGAGAGAGAGGTACGCCGCGTGTTTGTGCCATAACCAGCAATATATAAAGGAGTAGTATACGTCTTAAAATTTCAATTCAAGTTCTTCCTCTTGTCCCCTTTCTCCATTCTTCTTCGACGAGAGCTTCTTTGTTTTCTTAAGGTCTGATTCTTTCCATCTGTAGTTTTGATCTGGATGTTTATATAGTAATCGCTGATTTACGATTGGTTTCGGGATTAGATTAAACATGTTTCATTCTTCCCTGATTTTGATTTTGATTTTGATTTTGATTATGTTTTCTGTTTAGCAATTTATTTTTCGTCAATTCTCATCTGAATTACTGTAAGAAATGTTTCTATATGATTTAAGCGTTTTTATGGATTTTTAGTCATCGAAGTAACAGAGGTCTCATTGCTGTGAAGTTGTTTAGAGGGCTTAATCGCTTTTACAATTTATGAAACTTCCTTCTGTGGAAATCGTTGCTAATTCATTCGCTCTGCAAAACGATTTATGCGGATATTAACATGCATGGATTTTTACTATTTTTTTGTTCAAATTGTTTGTTTTTTGGATTGCATTGCTTTCCACCTGATCTTAAGATGCTCAGCACATTATATATACAAATATATATAGGCAAGAACATCATATAATAATGGACAACTTTATTTTAAAAGATATTATTTTATATGATTTTTTCATTTATGCATGTGATTTTATTAATGTATATTTATTTCTCTAATTGCTTCAAATGTATTTGGATCGTAATTAATGCAGTAAAAAATAAATATATTGTAAAACGGATTAATTTAATTAACAACCTAAATCTTAGTTATGGATGGAAAAAAAAATCCTCTCGGTTCTGATGATAGATTCTCAAATAATTAACGTATTTTAACTTGATTTCTATTTTGTGTAATGTACTTTTAAAATTTATATTTTGGTACATAAGACTTAAAGCTTTAAACATTTAAGTATCCGGTTGAAAGATTAATTTTAGATTAAAAAAGACTAATTTTAGATTAAAAAAATTCATGACATTAACCACGTCAGCAAATAATACTGATTTGATATCATATTAGTCGCCACATGAACATGATAATGCTTCGACCAGTTATCCGAGTATTTGAATGTTTAAAACTTTACATCTTAGGTACCAAAATGAAAGTTCTAAAGTATTTGACCCGAAATAGAAATCAAGTTAAAATACGCTATTTTTTCATGCGATTTGTCCATATTATATATATATATATATATATATATATATAGGGTTGG